TTAATAAATACAATAAAAATATGTTTAGAAAATAGTTTAAAAATAAAGACGTATGAGAATCAATATTATTCAAATTTGACGAAATTAATAACTAAATTAACAGTGACAGATTATAGAGAACGTGATTGTTTAGATATTATATTAAAACCACTTGATCAATTTGTATTAGCACATATTACTTCAATTAATTATAAAAATTCATTTGAACATATTCAAAACGATCCAAGTACATACAATGATAAAGATGAATTTTTTTTATTTACTTGTGTAAATTATATTTGGAGTGCAAAAGAAGATATAAATAATGAATTATTTGATAGAATGTCAAAATATTATGAATATATGTTAAAAGAATTAATATTTATATCAAATAAATTTGAAAATAAATCAATTAAAATTTCATTGATGTATATTATTCTAATTTTAAATAGATTATATACAGCAAAACAATTCTTAAATGTCTTTGATGATTTGATTTTATTATTCAATAAGATGCCTGATGGTTTTCTATTGGAAGATAATAGTGAAGAAAACCAGAATTATGAAATTGGGATTAGTTGGCAATATGAATTTCCAGCAGATTTGGATTCATTAAATGAAACAAGTATACCAGCGAGATTTATTTATAGTATATTACACAAGATATATGCCTGTGTATGTGATTCGAATATCATTTCAATTATAAAAGATAAACATATAGCAGAAACAATATTAAAATTAACAACTGTTAATTCTCAATCAATACAACGTCTTGCTTATAATATATTAGCATTAGTTATGAGTGAAAATGATGTTAAAAAATTGCCTCAACCTGATCAAATAACATCAGTTTTTATTGGATTTTTAAAACAGGCACATGAAAAATAATCTTATCTAGATTCTACTTATCATACACAATTAATCGATACACTAAAAGGTGAGTAAAATAATTTTTACTACCATAGAAATTCTACGTGTTATAGTTTCTTTTTCTTATTATTGAAATTAGAATTAGATATTGTGGTTTTTTTACTGTAAAATCTTTCTCTAAATAGCAGTTATGGTGACTTTCTCTCATTAAGTTTATCCTCCTCTCCATCATCCATTGAAAATCACTCTTTGATTGTAAATAAGTTCGAAAGAAAAAAACGCGACTTTTTAATAAAAATAAACTCAATTTTAACGAGGATTATAACAGAATCAATTTTACAGAATCCGAATTGGAAGTCTGTTTTTTTGCTACAACATACTGTTGAGCACCATAAAATTTTGTTTTACAGAAATATAATATAATATATGGACAATAATTTACTAAATATTTCACTGCGCTAACAAATATCATTATTTTATGACATATATATTTTACAGTGAATTCATACTTATGAAATATCCTTTATATGAAATAACTGACTGATTCATATAAAATTTATACAAACAATCAATTATCCTATCTGATGTGTTTTAACTGAATTAATGTCGTTTATGTTTTTAGCTTTTTTACAACATGATCAAATAAAAGAAGAATTTATTAAGCAAGATGGTTTATCGTTTATTATAAAACATTTATATCAACGTGATCAATATGATCGTCCGCATTCTACACCAAATCAATCAGATGCATTAGAATTAATATGTATATTAGCATTTGATGAGCAAGTGGCGCAAATTCTTAAACAAAATCAATTATTTATGACAACTGTAAAATCAATTTTAACAATGGAAAATGATAAATATGCATGTGATGAAAAACAAGAACAAAAAGATGTTGAACGTATAAAAAAAGCCGCAAACGGTGTTCTATGGGTATTAGAAAATGAAGAGAAAACATTGAAAAATAATAATAATGAGCAACGAAATAAAGAAGTATATGATTTAATGATTAGTTATTCATGGAATGATATGGATTTAGCACATAAAATTTCTGATTATTTAGCAGCAAATAAACATTATAATGTTTGGATAGATCGGGATAAAATGCATGGTTCAATAATTGATTCTATGGCATCAGCTGTAGAAAATTCCAATACTGTATTAATGTGTATGTCTGAAACATATAAACGTAGTGAAAATTGTAAAGCAGAAGCTGAATATGCACGTAAACGTAAAAGATCTATTATACCATTAATGATGAGAGAAAAATATGATCCAGATGGATGGTTAGGTTTTATATGTGGACAAAAATTATATATTGATTTTACACAATATGAATTTGAAACAGCTATGAATAAATTAACAGCAGAAATAGAAAAAAATCGTCAAAATAATCAACAACAACAACAATTATTTTCATCAACAACGCCAAAACCAATTCAAAATGAAACAAAACCAAAAACAACACCATCAATGATGAGTATACAGGAAGAAACAAAATTGACAACACAACAGTATGTATAGTAGTTCCATGTCACACTTTTTTATCTATTACAAAAGCAAGAAAAAACAAAAAAAAATGTGTAAGTCTCCACAAGAATTATACTCGGTACACAGTTCATGTACATTAAACATTGCATGAATTTAGGATTTGAAATATAATAGATGAGGATAAAGAGTCCTATGCAGTGTTACAAAGTACTTAAGAGTCAGTTTGTGAGAAAGATAGGCAGGTTCATCCGTGAATATCCTCAGAATTGTATTTTCTTTGTCTCATTTCATTACCCATAAAGTCAATATGAAAATCTGAAAATGATGAACTTTATTGATCATTAGTTTACAAAGTAATAGCAAAAATAAATTTTAAATAAAGTTCAAGCAAAAACTATTGAGTTTTCGAAAACAATCTATTTTTTGAAACAATCCTATGACTATTCAATAACTTTTTGGTATGAATGAATAGAGAAGACAAAGAGAGACAATTTGAATATCAATAGTTTAAAAAGAGACCGAGTTCTAATGCACGTTTGAAATTATTTTGCTAGTAACAAAAAAAAT